AAATCTGTCTGGTGGCAGACAGATTTATGCAAGTGCAGAAAGGAAATATAACGATTTTTTAAATTGGAATTTTATTTTATTATGTTTACAAGCTATTATACCTCCAAAACATTTTTTTTGAATCATCAGAGTTTTCAAATAATGAACTTGATTTATAAAACTTGATCTGAATAGAACACTCCTGGTGAGAATTGTAACATGCTGTTAATCATTTTATTTCAGAATTTTATTGTTTCTATTGCAAAATTGACACATCTTGATGGTGGAAATGTTTTTGGCAGAGACTTGAAATCTCATTGCATTCATGAAAGCCTTTTTGGTTGTTTTCCATTGAGATCAATGAGAAGTGTTTCCCAAAATATGCTCCAAGATGTTCCTCTCAAAGAAGTCTGTGGTCAAATACGTTGGGAAATGCTGCTGTTGAAATGCTGCATTTACTCAGTGACATCAGAGACATACATCAGCATGGAAAGCTGTGCCGTCAAATAACCCGTATTGGGCTTAGTGCATTTCCCAATTTAATGACATCAGAACTTTTTAGTTGACCTTTGTTAAAATCCCATAGAACTTCAACTTTGTATGAAATGCGGGTCGAGAGGAATATTGTTTTTAAATAAACCATGAGAGGTTGTCTGTGCTTTCTGAAGATTTTTTTGGTTCTGCATCCTAAGCACATGATTGACCTCTGAGCAGCACCCATGGTCCCTCTGAAGTCCTATCTGCTAAGTGAAGGCAGTCTTGCCCCAAAATTGTGGGGCCCTGGTGGTGATCTAAGTAAATTCCACATCTGGATTACGTTTAATTCTCTAAGGCAAAATATTATTTCTGAGTTCTTGTGCTGAGAGGGTGAGATGGAGTGGGGGATGGGGTGATGAAAGCAGTGTAGCATGGCCTCGTTTTTCAAGGGGTTTAAATTTTAAAGATACAGAAGACTTGACTACAAGGCTCCCCAGCTGTGTGTGCCAGCAGGCGCTAAGCTGTTTTGTGGGACATAGGAACCTTGGAGCGTTAGAGGCAGTGAGGGCCAAGTGCTGAGGAATTGACAGAGTTGAGACTTGAACTGGTCTTGAAGAGGTGTCTGAGGGGTCAGGCAGAGCTGGGGGGACAGAAGAGGGTCAGGGGCATACAAGTTGCATGAGCTGTGTGGTAAATACACCTGGTGCAGAGAGATCAACCCGCCTGTCCTGGGAGTGGGGAGGAGCTTCAGTGTCTTGCACAAGTAGTGCCACAGTCAGGGTAGAGTCACATCTGTTCGTTTTCTCTCCAAATCCCGAGACCTGCAAACAAGATTACTTGGTTGGCTTTGAAAATATCAAGTTGTTTTCAGTTTATTTCTTTGGCATACACAGAAAAATCTACTTCCCCTTCCAGAGGTTTGTGCAATTAAAAACAAGGGCTTTTTGGAGAATGAATGAGAGCAGGCAGCCGAGAAGGCTCGGGAGTTACACTTTTTCAAGCAAGTGGCAGTAAAATGTTTGCTAAGGAGTCAGCAACCACACCTGTGCCTTGGGGTCATTCATTCAGGTCTATTTGAAGGAATGTTCTTCTTAGTTCACTAGATAGTTGGTTAGCGGAAACACTGCCTCCTTCCGCAACAGAGCCACACAGGTTTCTCAACAATAGGGATGTGGCTTTGACTGATGTCATCAGAAAAGGGCCACAACATTAAATCTACACCCAGGCAGGGGCACTCCACAGCAGGAGCACAGGCTGAGAGGGTCGAAGTTCTGAGGGAGGCGTTGGTAGCGAGTTCATTTTCGTTTGAACACCTTAGAGTGTGCTTCCACAAACTAGGCAGCTGTGGTGTTCCTGGGCAGCATTATCTTATGGGGCCAGCATTGTCTGTGTGTCTGTCATGGACTTAACTGCCACTCTGGTACATGACTATATTTAATATCGATGGTATGGAATCACATAGGTGTTTACATGAATCATCTGCATCTCTTCCTTTTCCATATTGTTAAGAGGTGAACGTGGGCACATTAACGTTTTTAAGAGTTTACTTATGCAGATAATGCTTCATGAATTGTGCGGCTCCACAGGGGAAGTGGCTTGGGGCTCCACCAAAGAAACACGAGGGGAAAGCATTTGCAGGGTGAACTTGAGGCTGAGCAGAGGAATTACTTGCTTGATTCAAGTTGGAGGAGTTGCCTTATTTGAACTGTCCTGGTTGGAACGTTCCTGGTTAAATAACTAATGCTCAGCCTCTTTCGATTGTCTGGACTTGGTTCATTTTCTAAATGTAGAAGCCCCAGAGCACTGGCACCATCTCCTCCTAGTGGCCTCCTGTTCTTTTTATAGTTTACCTGCATATACGTGAAACCTCGGAACCTTTCATTTTTACATTATAGTATCACATGAGTTTCTATCAAAGAAGAGCAAACTGTATTTGATTATGCTATCAGTACTACTCACACTGGGAAATTTTTTTTTCACAACTACCAAAGATTGATGTTCAACCTCCAGGGATTTGGGTAGTGGACTATGGTTCTGCCTTAGAACCATAGTCCACTTCTGCTCATCACCTGATTGACATCTTAAGAAAGGTGGGCCAGTTAACAAAGCACAGTTGTGATGCCCTCCGCGGCTCTCTCTTCTTTAATGGGACTCCTTGTTCTAAACGAAATGATGACTGCGTGTGGGGAGAAGCAGATGAGCCTCGCGGTTTCCATTTTCCCTGCTACCCAGCCCCCACTCGTTGGTTATAAGCAGTCCTTAAAACACAAAGGACCATCTCAGAATTGTGGTGTTATTACCATATGTTGTGCTTTCGGCGTGAAAGGAGTACCCTTTTAAACTACTTAGAAGGCTGAAATAGGATTAGGTTTTCTAAGAAGAATGAAAAAAGCCTATTAGAATGTCGGGGAAGAAAGGATAATTTTTTTATTGGCAGCTAACAAGATCAATGTGCCGATACTGGCTGCCAACCAGCCCTGCTTCCTGGCTGCTGGTGGCAAGTACTGTGTGGCTCTAGTGTGAAGGACACACACAGGAATTCTGGAGAGCTCCTGGGGATCTAGTTAGCCTGTCCCACCTCCGGTTTATCAGGAAACCTTAAAAGGAAACTAGACAATCAGCCCTCCACACCTGTGGGTTCTGCATTCTCAGATTCAACCACCAACAGATCAAAAATATTCAAGGAAAAAAGTGTGCCTTTTTTTTAAAAATCGTGTCATCATTTGCTAAACAATACAGCATAACAGCTATTTACATAGCATTTAGATTATATTAGGAAAGCTAGAGATGATTTTAATTATACAGGATGCACATAGGTTATATGCAGATATTACACCAGTATGTGTACAGTAGTTGAGCAGCTGTGGATTTTGTATCAACCCCTCATAGATACCTAGGAACGACTGTGTCTTACTGACATGGTGCATGCCGTTTCAGGTGATTGCTTTGTTGTAACCCAAGTGACATTTCCTTCCTTTGTTAGATAAAGCAAGCAAAGTGAGAAAAGTCCTAGTCAAAAATACAGTGCCTAGGCTGGGGTGTAGCTTGGTGGTAGAGCATTTGACTCACAAGCACAAGGTCCTGGGTTCAATCCCCATCCCGGGGACAAAGTGTGTAGTGCGTGAGGTGTTCATTATCCTCCTACCTGCTCTGAGCAGATAGATGCCTGCCAGAGCAGTGTTCCACTTAAGGAAATTTTCTTGGCAAAACCTCAGACTTTGTATACAGAATGAAAATTCCTGACCTTTTTAGAATTAAAAACACTCATGCATTTTTTACTCCAACATCTATAAATATTTATCTCGTCTTAAGGGATAGACACACAAATATGTTGAGACTTGCCGGATACCAGTTATTCTAGACCAAAAAAACCTGAAGACAAAAATTGCGTTCCCATTGTGCTTGTCCAAGATAATGACGTAAGGCCCAACGGCTTGTTTCCTCTTGGCTAACTCGTGGAATTCCAAGAAAATGGCTTTTCAGCTCTGCCACAATAGGAATTTTGTGATTTTTCTCTGCATTTAGAGATGGAGGATGTCCACCTGACTGTGAGGTCAGAGGGCGTTTCCCCTGCTGCTGAGCTCTGCGAGAATTGTCCAGCCCAAGGATGGGGAAAGGTGCCATGCTGGTTTTGCAGGGGCCTTTCTATCTCATGCCTTCTGCCTGGGAAATCTATTGTGTCCCTGTGACACTGTCCCTGTGAGGGTGGAGTAAAGCCCTGGGAAATAGTCATTTCAGTTTATGAATGGTGATGATCACAGTTGACCAAGAATGACATCGGGAGGGCCAAGAACGGGCGTAGGAACCCCCACCTTATAAATCTAAAACCAGTTCCTTGGTTTCGCACACAGGAAAATACTTAGAAGCAAGACAACCTAATATTCTGTGTCTTTGAAAACCTGATCCTCATCCGAGTTCCCTCCAGGTGTGCTTTCAGTGCTTCTGGAGTTATTAACAGGGAAAAATGGTCATTATACAAAGTGTGTGTGTGTGTGTGTGTGTGTGTGTGTGCTTGTTGATGGTGAAAGGGGATAACTGGCTTTTAAGTTTCTGTTCTATTCAGAATTGAAATCAGTGAAGATTATTATTTAGAACCATGCTTTTAAAATGAGAAATACTCTAATATATAATAGTTTGTCAAGGAAAATAATGCATATGTATCAATGCCAATTTTAAGAAAAATGTTAAATGTGAAAACTGATTTAAAAGTTTTGGACAATATACAATGCTCATCCATTGCCATTTCTTAGAATCATTAAAAACGCGTCCCAATGACAGTCTGGATCTGCTCTGTTAAACCAGGACAGGGGAAGTTCATGACGTGTAGGCTGTGTCTGTGAGCAGATTCGAGAGTCCTTTCCTTCAGGCAGGGATGTGTTTGGATGGGCCTCTGAGCCTCAGGAAGTAGAGTGTTTTGCAGATCTGTGACCATGGTGCTGAATTTACCTTCTGTTTTTTCTCTTTCATTGTTTCCCCTGATGTGGCTGCTGTGTTGACCACCCTCTGTATCTCTGCCGCTGAAATTTTTTCTTTCCATCATTAAGGAAACCTCCCAAGGTAAGCTCGGATGTGAAATTGGGCATGTGTACTGGCTTAGTGTGCAGAAATGTAGGGTCTTTAACTCATTGCAGTAACCCACATGTAAGAGCCTGGTGCCGTGGCGCCCTCCTGTAATCCCTTTGAAAGCTGAGGCAAGAGGATCACCCATTCAAGGGCAGCCTAAGACCTAAGGAACTTAGTGAGACCCTGTCTCAAAATAAAATATAGAAGGACTGAGGATGTGTCTCAGTGGTTAAGTGCCCCTCGGTTCAATCCCTAGTTCCAAAAAAACAAAACACATAAACAAACAAACAAAAAATCCAAAAACAAAAATCAACATATGCTACCTACCTGTCTTCTTAGGAAGAAAAAAATAGCATTCTAATTAAAACTAAAGCCATGAGCAGACAACTCATGCTGATAATAGCTCCCAGCTGGAGTGCCTCTCTATGCCACACATTCTCCGTTCTCGGCAGGAGTGCCCTAGTCCTCAGACTGGCCTCTCAGGTGCTTGTTCTGTTTTGTTGATGAGGACAGAGGGTCAGCAAGATTCTCAGGGTGAGTGGGTGGGGACCAGAAGGCAGAAGGACAGAAACAGCATCTCGGAAGGAGAGCGTGTTAATGGTGATATTGACAGGGCAGGCTTTCCTTTCTGTGCCCTGCTAAGAATCGCTAATATCTTCAGAGGTGACCAGCATCTGAGTGATTCAAGGTTGATTTTGTTGCCAGTGAGCATTCTGTTGAGTTTCAGAAGGATACTTGGCACCAAAAATAAGAAGTGTGACCAGAGCCCAGCCCATGATGCTGATGCGGGCCACAGTTCTGGAGATGAGATTAGGACAGGCTATTCCTACACATGATGAGTGGTCAGAGTCTAAGAGTGCTGGATGAGGGCGTGGGATCCAGACAGGCAAGGCTTACTTTCCCTTGAGTTATGAAGGAAAATTCAGTTTATAGCTCTTAGATTATGGAAACCCACTAAAATGCTATTTCATGCTTTGTACTTATTAAAGGCAACTTAGGGGAATTATCTTTGGCATTAAGTCTTTCAACTCCAGCAAGGAAGGTATGCCTTGAACAAATGCTCTGAGATGCATTAAGAAAGAGGAAATGTGTTGTTATAGAAGTATGCACCAGGCAGGCATGCTGTCCAAGTCTGGGGACCAGTATAAATTCTTCCTGAGTTGATAGGAATATTATCCATGAAATTTGCAACCTAGAGAATATCTTTATTTCTGATAGATGCATGCCCCTTATGTAGCCCTTCTTTCCCTTACCACTGGTTCCCAGAAATTTCAAAACATACCATCAATCTCATGATATATTGACTTCTTTCCCCACGGGGGCCGGCGGGGCGGGGGAGCAGGAAAATACTGAACAATTCCATATACTGCTGCTTAGTGAAGAAGAAGAACTGAAATTGAAAAGAGGCACAAAATTGTTTTTGCGAGATCACTATCACGTTACACACAGAAGTGTTCTGGTGACTTTCTAGCCTGTGGCTAGCAACCTCCGTTTTGCTAAGTGTTCTTGTCAAGAGTTTCTAAGAAGTGTCACAAAATTTTCAAGATGAAATTAATGTTCCGTTGTCATGTTAATATAGCTTTTAAATATTTAATACATACAAAATATGTGTATTTTAAGTATATATATGTAGACATGAACTATAAGGCACATCTGGAAAGAATAAAGATCGATTTGAATTCAAATACATGATGCAATAGAATAACATTTAAAATGACACAGAATGTTGCAAACAAACAGGAAAGGAACGATGCTTTTGACCATGCTTATAGAAGAATGGAATTTGTGCTGGTGCTGGTGGTGCATGCCAGTAGCCCCTGCTCCCCAGGAAACTGAGGCAGGAGGATCACTTGAGCCAGGACTTTGAGGCCTGGGCAACACAGACCCCCAACTCAAAAAAATTTTTTTAAAAATTTATTCATGCCAAAATCACATGTGTTTTAAATAATCAGCAAAGACATCAGAAAAGACAGGATTATTTGATCTAACCAATAATTATTCCAGGCAGGGACAGTTGCTGCACAGATTAGACTCAATCCTGGCCTTCTAATGGAGGTAGGAATACATGCCCACGATAATATAAAATCAATTGTATTAAAAGCCACAGAGACAAAATATGTGTGAAATTCATAGGATGAAAGTTCTCGTTCTGACTTTTGCAGTCAGAAATGACAAATTAAGAGCCAGGCACAGTGGTACACATCTGTAATCTCAGCAATTTGGGAGGCTGAAGCAGGAGGATTGCAAGTTCTAGACCAGCCTCAGTAGCTTAGTGCAGCCCTGAGCAATTTTAGCAAGACCCTGTCTCAAAATAAAATAATAAAAGGGCTGAGGGTGTGGCTCAGTGGGTAAGCACCCTTGGGTTCAATCCCCAATACCAAAAAAAAATAAAATAAAATAAAATAAAAAATGACAAATTAGATTAGGTAATCAGTGTCACCTCTCCTACTGGAAGGATTATTAGAAGTAGAGAAATTGTTTAAAAACCTGTGCTTAATGGCACTGGAGATTTTCTAAATTTAGTGAAGAATTACTAGATGAAGTTCTAAAAGGAAGTAAAAATTTGGATGAACATAGTATTTTGGGTTGTGTTTTTCAAAGGAATAAATGATTTCTAGCCACAGCAGTTTTGCCAACAGTTATGTGAGACCCAGGGGGACAGAAGTGTTAGAGTCCATGTCCTGCCAGAGTGGGGTCCTTGGTAATCTCCTTGTTCTTTTGGTTGGTAAAATGGATTGAGATTCAGACTTGGGTTATGAATGAGAAATAAAAGTAAATCAGCCCTCACATGGATTGCCAAGGAGCTGTAAGTTATTTGTGTGATCCAGGAAATCTCACGCTATAAAATTGGATCAAAGTTCATCTAAATTTTCACTTCCTTCTAGAACTTCATCTAGTAATTCTTCACTACCAGATGCAGGTGCCCACAAGTACTGAGAGAAGCAGGTATAACCCTAAGTTATTCAGGATTCCACAAACATTTTTAAAAGTACAGTATCTGGGGCTGGGGTTGTGGCTCAGTGGTAGAGTGCTTGCCTAGCACATGTGAGGCCCTGGGCTCAATCCTCAGCACCACATGAAAATAAGTAAAAATAAATAAATAAATGTATCGTGTTCAACTACAACTAAAAAATACATATTAAAAAGAATAATGTCTGGGACTGAGGGTTTTGCTCAGTGGTAGAGCACTTGCATAGCATACGTGAGACCCTGAGTTCATTCCCCAGCACCCCCCCCCCACACACACACACAAAGAGCAATATCCAGCACAAAACCAAAGATAAAGAAGATGTATGACAAAATAATGTGACATAAAACAAGAGCTAGCAGAAAAATAAAAAGTAGAAATACTTTTTATACTTTACCACAAATGCCTCAAATGTTCAAATGAATAGACACAGACTTTAAAATAGATACATTTATTATGTTTAAGGAGATAAAACAATAGATTGAAGAATGTTCAAGAGAACTCAAAATTATACAAACGTTTGGAAAACAACCCAATAGAAATTCTCAATCCGAAAAACCCAAAATCAAAATTAAGGACTTATTATTAGGGTTTAACAGCAAGTAAATCCAGCTGAAGAAAGAATTAAATAACTGGAAGGTAAGTTGGCAGAAAATATTAAAATGTTAAAACAAATGGTGTGGGAACAACTAGATATCCACATAAAAGAAGTAAACACAAACCTTACATTCCTCATAAAAATTAACTCAAAGTGGATCATAGATCTAAATATAAAATGCAAAAATTATGACACTTCTAGAAGATAACAAAAGAGAAAATGTAGTTGATCCTGGGTTTGGTGATGATCATTTAGACAGAATGTCAAAAGCATGTTCTATGGGAGCAAAACTAATAAGTGGAACTTGATTGAAAGTAAACACTCCTCTGCCAAAGACATTGAGAGAGTGAAAACAATCTACAAACTAAAAAAATTTTGTAAAACACACCTGATAAAGGACTTATATACAATGAACTTTTAAAGCTCAGCAGTAAGAAAACAACAACTTGATTTAAAAATGAGCCAAAGATCTGAATAGACATCTCACCAAAGAAGACTTACAGGTGGCACATAAATGTGTAACAATATGTTCAACATCATAGAGAGAAATGCACATTAAAACAATGAGATGTCACTACCTGCCTATTAAAATGACTAAAATCGAAAAATCTGACAGCATCCAAGCTGGAAGGGTATGGAGCATCGGGAACTCTGGTGAAAGTGACAAGTGACACAGCCGCTGCAGTTTCTTACGGAGCCAGCCGTATTCTCTTCATACAACCCAGCGTCACTTGAGTTATTTACCCAAATGAGATGAAGCATGTCTGTTCAAAATCCCACACAACAGCTTCACTCCTATTTTTTAAAGCCTGGAAGCAACCAAGATGTCCTTCAGTAGGTGCAGGGTAAGCCAACACTAGAACTTCCATGCGATGGAATATTGCTCACTGATAAAAAGGAAATGAGCTCTCTATGTCCATGAACACACATGGAAGGGCCTTAAACGCGTGTGGCTAAGTGAAAGAGCCAGTCTGAAAAGGCTGTACCATGTGCAGTTCCATCTCTGTGATACTCTGGAAAAGGCAAAACTATACACTCATTAAAAAGACCAGTGGTCCCCAAAGTCAGTACCCACAGCTCACGGGACCTGCTCCAGGACTGTTGAACCAACGGAGGAAGAGGAAGAGGACGAAAGGCAGGGAGGCAGCTGGGCCGGCTGGGGCAGGAGGACTCCCACCAGCACAGGAGAAAGAAGGTTCAAGTCCAGCAAGGTTATTAGTCCCTCCGCGATGGATGGAGCCACTTTGCCAGAGACCGGGCTGGAGAAAGCTTGCTGGGCTGAATCCGTCCTCAGGAGGACCCAGCCGCCTGGCTGGCCTGGGCCCTGAGGATCCCTCTGTGCACGTCACCCTGGCCTGACCTGGAAGGGGTAGACTCACCATGTAGATCCTGTTGAGGTTGATTTGTGATCTTTCTTTAAATTTCTTA